AAAAACTTTGGCGGATGGCGGTTGGCGGCTTAACGGGGGTCTCCTTTAAGTTCAACATTGGTCAGATTTGTTCAGGAGGAAAATTTGGCGGGAACCGAGGGTGGCGGTTTATTGGGGGGCGGTTTAAGGGGGGTGGACTGTATCACTGTTTGCTATCGCAACTCGGGCAACATCTAGTCATCCTGAGTGAAACGGCTTGTCAGTGGGCAACATCTGTTTGACCCATGGTAACACACTTGAAAAGTGTCTGGCCTATGCTGCACAATGGAAAAGGACCTGTCATTGTCTAAGGGTTGAAAAAGCCTTACTTCATACAAAAATGTGTCACATCTCATCATCTGATGAAGAATCTTTATACTACAGGTGGACTCACTCTGCAACAATCTTCTCTACAATTATTTTCTCTGTATAATGATCTTCTGGTCCCTAAGGGTTCTTACCACACGTGATAAGGGTTCTTGTATACAATAAAATTTCCCTCTGCAACACATTATTTCTGATGGTCCTCAAATTTCTTTTTGAAAAGAGAAAGAGAGAGTCTATCTGCACATTCTGGGACTGACCAGCAACCTTTCATTTAAAAATGCATTCTAAAAAGAGCAAACTGTGTTTATAACAGCTGTGAGACCCCAGAATATGGACACCCTGACATGGAAAATTTCACTTAGGGATGCTTGGAGCTAAAAAAAAAAAATCAACCCACAAAATTCAGACATTGACTCAAGAAATGGACACTTTTCCAAGATTTCAGAAAGAGTTGAAAAGTTAATTTTTAAAAAATTTTATTTGTTAAGATATTGAGCTATTCATATATAAAAATTCTGAAAATAAATTTTATTGTAAAATTACCATTATTCATTCAATCAAAACCAGGTCAAGTTTGCGCATCTTTGAAAAAAATTGCATCATGTGTGCTCACTGCTTAGGGTTACAAACTTGTTCTCGTTTTTTTTAGCTTCTTCTGATTCCAGATGATAAGATCATATTCGTTTTTTTTTCTGTATATTTGTTTTCTGCATCTTGAAGTTGAGAAAAAATTATATTACAGTACAGTATTCAATTTTTGAAGGACTTTTTGTCAACTGTTCCTCTACAAGAGAACCAATTAAAATATATCCATTGACATATATGGGAAAGCAAGGTCATCCATTTGCCAATGATGTTCGCATATCAGGGTCCCAATGTAACTTCAAATTTGTCCTATTAATTCCATTATAAGTCCCCTTACGCGGTCTTCTAAGCTTGTTAAAACAAAACATATGCTCACCTGCTAATGCTAGACAATATTCCAGGCTGTCGTCCGTTTTTCCGTATGCTTCTCCGATCCCGGATTTCATCAAGAGATATTCCTGTGTGATGAGACAAATCCTCAAGACTCGTTTATAATATGATCAGAAGCAAGCAGACGCACAAACAAAATACCATGACTGATTCATGCAACACAGTTTTCAACCCGAAACTTGGATTTCCTTTTTATTTTCCACACTTCACCTGCCCGAATTCCTGTTTTTGACGAAGGTGCGAGGGATTTTCTCTGCTCACCAGGCCACGGAAAACTCCACTTTTTCGACGACATGCTTTTCCCTTCAGTAACCTGAATTGAAACAAATTAATAAAAAAAAATGAATAGCACGCCAGATTTCAAAGTGGAGCACTTCTTCTATGGTAGAAAAGAATTCTTGTTTTTTTCTTTTTCCGTGGGATGCTGGTTCCTGTTGATTCAAGCAACGCATTTCTCACGGTCATCAAGAAGAAAAACAAGCATTTCCTGGTAAATAGGCTTTTCCTGGTTGCAAATCCCAAGCAAATGGGGCTTGGGATCAAAGAGTTTTATCCTTAAAAGGGTGGAAAAATGTTGGAACTGTTGGTAATGGTTTGCTCCTAATAAATGAAGCTTTTTGAATGCTTATACTCCTCATGGAATCTCTTGGTAATAGTCATTGAGGCACCAATAAGTTGTTTCACCCAGAATGCAATTTTAATCGATTGAATGGTGCATTTATTTATTTACAAGCTTCATTTGCCAATTGTCAGCATTCACAAGGTTCTCCAAGTGCTTCCATGTGCCCATGCACCCATTTATTGACACGTTCTGGCTTATTAAGAATGATTAACTAATAGATACAGCATTAATACAGAGAGTACCACAGTACATAAATATGTGAGCATTCCACAGCTAGGTTCAAAAAGACTTAGGATTCCTAAAATTTGATTCAAAAAAAGTTTCTTTCAACAATCTTAGAGGACCAAGATAACCTGTGAGCTTCATAAAAGTTCTGCTCAAACTTTCTCTCCAACATATTTAATTAACTGAAGCTTATATGGGAGCAGGCTGAACACATTGTTCTGCTTTAATTTGTGTTCAGTATTGGCCTTATAAATATGTTGTAATTTGTATTACTGATATTTTTTGGCTATTCAGTCTCCATAAGGGGGGCGGGGCATACCTGCATTTATATAATGTGTGCATTTGCATGTTCTGTGATGCATTTTCTTTTTGTTTTAGCAGCCATATATAGCTTCATTATCTAATTTTTGTCATGATGGGATGGAATATATTTGAATGGATGTGGGTGGGGAGGGGGTTTGGATGTGGGAAGCATTGTTTGAACCCTATGTGAACACTGCTGAAAATCAGAAAATAAAGCTTGCTTACACTGTATATCAATCAATGAAGAATAAATAAATACAATTTATGTTGAACCTTGAAATATCCCTCAAAGTAGCCTTTTATAATTAAAAACAATATCCCAAAAATATTCAAGTGCATACATGAGGATAAAAATGCGCATAGCATTGATCAAAAAGTTGTTGGTGGACCCTGAGCTGAAACAAAATTGTCAACAAAAGGGTATTCCCCTATTGTCTGGCAGCTTCTAACAAAGCATCACATGGAACATGGGATCCTTGTATACAGGAGTTTTATTAGGATCTATTTATGCAAGGAAGGAGCGAAGGACTCACAGACAAGACGTGTGGCTGACGGGGCAGCTTTTTCGGTTCAACTGCTCTGTTTGATTTGATGGACTTGAGGGCCCTTGTGAAACCATCCTGGTCCAGCGGATTTTTGAAAGAAATGCTGGGGCTTTCTGCGAAAATGGAACGATTCTTTATTGCTTCAGGTTTCCTGGAAAGAAAAATCGTATCAACTTGTTCATGCTAATCAGGAACAGGAAATGAGCCTGAATTATCCTGCAATTGAATTTGTGAGGCTTCAGCAATGATTGAAAGCTTCAGAAATAAATTGAAACTATGTCCTGTGCAGCACAATATTAATTTTAAAAACATTTTTGGTACAGCAGATTGGCACATGTTGGGCATTAATGGAGCCCAAATGAGGAATATATGCTAAAGACTCAGGAAAAAAATTCAAACTCTGACAATCAGCAGGTTCAAGGCAAAGAGTGTTCAAGGGAACACCTCAGATATAATCTTTTCCTAGTTTTTAAAAATTATTCATTGGGTTCTTTGATGGCATCTGTCAGGGGCTCATAAGCCTCTCTAACAAAGATTGAAGTTTCACCCTTCTAGTGAAATAAAAGAGTGAGCACAATCGGCCGTTTGCGGCCTGAGGTCAGTACCTCAATCGTCGGTTTATATATTCTTCAGTTTCAAACAATGTTCAAATATAATCAGCAACAAACAGTGAGTATTAGTCTCTTGAAGACTCAGCAGTGACAAGTGTTTTTATGTTTCACAATGATTTCACACAAAAAGTAGCTCCTTTCTCATCAGAGGTTGGACATTAACTGGCTGCTCCTGAAGAGGGTTTTATATAGCTGCAGGTCCTCATTAGTGGAAAGTTTATTCCAGGCTTTCCACTGATGTGTATCTGCTGATTCAGCACACAGAATTCCTCATTATTCTTTTGATCACCAGGGCTGATTCACCAGTTGAATAGGCCCTGGAGATCAATATCTCCAAGGCTGGTTTTCCTTGGAATCTTGTTTTTTGTGCTTGTTCAGAATATTTGTTTCATAATTGTTTTTATATAATCATCTTCTGGAAGAAGATGGATTTCTTTTTCTCGAATCTTGTGACAACGTGGCGTTTTCGTATGTCGCGTCAAATTTTTCTTCTCCTGTTTGTTCCTCTGACTCGGGCGACATCTAGTCGTCCCGAGAAAAGCGGCGTGTCAGCGGGCGACATCTGTTTGACCCGTGACAGCATCATTTCATGGAATTTGGGAAACTATGAGGTTGTCCAGCTCCTATATATAAAAATGTCATGCGAACAATATTATTTTCTTCCTCGCCTTTCAGTATAATTTTTTGTTCCACCGTGCTCAAGTTTTGTTGCAGCTTGCATTCTTAGAAGTAATAACTTCACAGAAAATTTGATGGAGTTCTGCTGGGCACTTGATTTTACAATAGTGGCAATCATGGAATGGAAATTAATTTTGTTGAGTAAGTAACGCGTTTTTGACTCATTCAAAAAAGTAGCAAAACACTATGGGGTATATTAAATTTCCTCAGAATATGGAAACTGAAACACCACATGGATTACAAGCTGAAAAACAATTATTGTTCAGAAAAACATTCTCTGCCAAATGAAAAAAAAAATCAGCCGTGCTTGAAGTATTCTGCCAAAAATGTTGGCAAAAGTGTCTAGAACAGCTCTGTGTTCTTATCTTGAAATATAAGGTTTCAATTTGCACAATATTTTGGTACAGCCCAGCGGCTCCTTCACAGCTCTTGAAATTGATGCAGAATTAATTCTAAGGGTTGCCTCCATTAATTTATTTTTAATTCTGTAATTTTCATCAACAGCCGCCTTCAACACAGTCGCCAGCATTTCTCATCAGAAGTGGAAACTGTTGGAAGGAAATTAGTAATAGTCTAAAATACCATAGGATTGCATTGGTGCCAGGAAAACGGCAATGCTTTGAGAGGGTCAGAAACTGGTGGGATTGTACTCAACCTTGAGTTCCCACAAGATTTGGGATTCTTGGGGAAATCCTTCTGAAGGATAAGGCTCAGGGACAAAAATGTAATGAAAAGAAATGTTTAAATAGCAAAATGTTTTTGCATACAATCATCAGTTGCTTCTGTGTTGTCTTACGCAAAAGGCTGTCTGTTGAACTGCTGTTTGAATCCAATCCTACCAAACCTCAAAATATATCAACCTTACACTAGGGTGTCAAGCACCCTGGCTGCAGCCCGGCTGATTGAGTTTAAATCATTTATTTCATATCTTCAGTTATTTCAATGAATTCAGTTATTTCAATGAAAATTCAATGAAGAGACACTTTTGGAACTCTTAAAGGATCAAGAAAAATTTTTGGCCTTATATGATTTCTCATCAAAGATTCTCTTTAAATTGTTCATTGAACTAAAACTCATACAGAAACAGGCTGAAGACCTTGTGCTTTAAATAAACTTTTACTGCTGCTTTGTCTTTAATATTGGGGATGAGTGGGTGTATGAAACAAACATGTAGGATGTCCAGTTTTATTTTGTGGAGTGTGTTCTCTTTTATTTTTGTCATTCGTTTGTGCTTTGTTTCATGCTTTGAAATGATTGAATGTATTTGGGGGAGTTGGGTTGGGTGGGGAGGGGGTTTGGATGCGGGAGGTCTGGTTATCCCTTGTGAACGCTGAAAAGTGGCAAATAAAGTTTTCTGTTCATTCATTCATTCAAATCTTCAAGAAAAACAGTCAAAAATCATCAATCTTTTACAAATTCAAATTACTGTTTCCAACAGAAACTGTTGATGAAAATGGCAGAATCAATAATAAATTAATGGCGGCAACGCTTAGAATTAATTCCTCATCAATTTCAAGAATTCTGAAGGAGTGGCTGGGCCATAGACAAAAAGTTCCAAAACATTTGCAAGATGGTGCTAGAGGGTGAGTGTCAAAAAAACAAAAGAGAATGGATATAATAAATCAAACACAACAATCAGTGTGGGATGAACTGGGAACCTCTTAATACAGGTTTAAATTTTTTTTGCTTATTAATGTCCCAATAGCGAATTTAGAAACTCAGTGAATCTTGACCCACACGCAAAAGTAATAACACAGGTCTTTTAGGAATAATCAATGTAAGGTGTTAAGCTCTAAACAGCTCTTGAATTGGCAGTGAAATGAATTCTATTCTATATTTTTTGGGAGGAAAAAGAAAGATGGAGAAAATGGTTTTACTTGGGGCCTGTAAATACTGGCCTCTGATCGGCTGATTTTTCCAGAATCAAAGACAATGCTGTGCATTGTGGTGCAATAAGTCCCTTGGGTCTCATTCTTTGGTTTTTCTTCTGAGTATATCTGCCAAATATTTAAAAGGGCTGCTTTTTTGTTGTGCCTAAGAATGCCTTTCTCTATGCATTGATTGTGCTTGGCTGAACTGCTTGCAGTTCCAATTGTTTAGTCCTTGAAATTTTGCGGTGCCTCTTGTATATATAGTATATCCAGGTAAGGACTTCAATGGAACCCAACCAAGAAGAAAGGAATAACCTTAGGTGAATAAACGATGGGAGGGGCCGGTGGGATTGCATCAAGTATACTATGTACACATTATGTGGGCCAAAACGTGACTGGTTTTGTCCATCACTCAAAATATGAACTAATAAAAAAGCAAACTTCTTTAGTGGCTTTTTATACTGTATTTACTCAAGTACCACAATACTTTTTCTTCGAGTAAGTTGTGGAGAAAAATACGTTTTGGGACATACTTGGTTAGGGAATTTCTGGATACAATTTTTTCCAAACTTTTTGCTAAAAATGTAAGTCATGTATTTTACTCAAGACTCTCAAGAGTGCATGATACTCAAATTAATAATATGGTATGCATTAAAATCTTCTTACAATAAGTAATATTACAACAAATCTTTCAGCATGAAAAACTTTTTTCATGTCATTGCACAAAGCCCATAGAGTATAGACATGGTAAAACAATCATATGCAGGCGGTACCCTGCTATTTTACCCTAATATGTTGCTGGACTAGGGTCAAATTGTAAAGTGGTATAATTGCAAGACAAAAGAAAATGGGATGGTTTTTATTTGGCATTTGAAAATTTGAGTATTTCTGCAGGTCAAATTGCAGGGNATTATTGTTCAGAAAAACATTCTCTGCCAAATGAAAAAAAAAATCAGCCGTGCTTGAAGTATTCTGCCAAAAATGTTGGCAAAAGTGTCTAGAACAGCTCTGTGTTCTTATCTTGAAATATAAGGTTTCAATTTGCACAATATTTTGGTACAGCCCAGCGGCTCCTTCACAGCTCTTGAAATTGATGCAGAATTAATTCTAAGGGTTGCCTCCATTAATTTATTTTTAATTCTGTAATTTTCATCAACAGCCGCCTTCAACACAGTCGCCAGCATTTCTCATCAGAAGTGGAAACTGTTGGAAGGAAATTAGTAATAGTCTAAAATACCATAGGATTGCATTGGTGCCAGGAAAACGGCAATGCTTTGAGAGGGTCAGAAACTGGTGGGATTGTACTCAACCTTGAGTTCCCACAAGATTTGGGATTCTTGGGGAAATCCTTCTGAAGGATAAGGCTCAGGGACAAAAATGTAATGAAAAGAAATGTTTAAATAGCAAAATGTTTTTGCATACAATCATCAGTTGCTTCTGTGTTGTCTTACGCAAAAGGCTGTCTGTTGAACTGCTGTTTGAATCCAATCCTACCAAACCTCAAAATATATCAACCTTACACTAGGGTGTCAAGCACCCTGGCTGCAGCCCGGCTGATTGAGTTTAAATCATTTATTTCATATCTTCAGTTATTTCAATGAATTCAGTTATTTCAATGAAAATTCAATGAAGAGACACTTTTGGAACTCTTAAAGGATCAAGAAAAATTTTTGGCCTTATATGATTTCTCATCAAAGATTCTCTTTAAATTGTTCATTGAACTAAAACTCATACAGAAACAGGCTGAAGACCTTGTGCTTTAAATAAACTTTTACTGCTGCTTTGTCTTTAATATTGGGGATGAGTGGGTGTATGAAACAAACATGTAGGATGTCCAGTTTTATTTTGTGGAGTGTGTTCTCTTTTATTTTTGTCATTCGTTTGTGCTTTGTTTCATGCTTTGAAATGATTGAATGTATTTGGGGGAGTTGGGTTGGGTGGGGAGGGGGTTTGGATGCGGGAGGTCTGGTTATCCCTTGTGAACGCTGAAAAGTGGCAAATAAAGTTTTCTGTTCATTCATTCATTCAAATCTTCAAGAAAAACAGTCAAAAATCATCAATCTTTTACAAATTCAAATTACTGTTTCCAACAGAAACTGTTGATGAAAATGGCAGAATCAATAATAAATTAATGGCGGCAACGCTTAGAATTAATTCCTCATCAATTTCAAGAATTCTGAAGGAGTGGCTGGGCCATAGACAAAAAGTTCCAAAACATTTGCAAGATGGTGCTAGAGGGTGAGTGTCAAAAAAACAAAAGAGAATGGATATAATAAATCAAACACAACAATCAGTGTGGGATGAACTGGGAACCTCTTAATACAGGTTTAAATTTTTTTTGCTTATTAATGTCCCAATAGCAAATTTAGAAACTCAGTGAATCTTGACCCACACGCAAAAGTAATAACACAGGTCTTTTAGGAATAATCAATGTAAGGTGTTAAGCTCTAAACAGCTCTTGAATTGGCAGTGAAATGAATTCTATTCTATATTTTTTGGGAGGAAAAAGAAAGATGGAGAAAATGGTTTTACTTGGGGCCTGTAAATACTGGCCTCTGATCGGCTGATTTTTCCGGAATCAAAGACAATGCTGTGCATTGTGGTGCAATAAGTCCCTTGGGTCTCATTCTTTGGTTCTGTCTTCTGAGTATCTGCCAAATATTTAACAGGGCTGCTTTTTTGTTGGTCCCAAGAATGCCTTTCTCTATGCATTTATTGTGCTTGGCTGAACTGTTTGCAGTTCCAATTGTTTAGTCCTTGAAATTTTGCGGTGCCCCTTGTATATATAAATATAGGTCCATTCCTGAAGTTACCTTGGGTTGGTTCTTCTTTCCTTATTGGAATCCACTTATTTGCTACCCTCCCCGGCCACCCTAACGTAGTTCATATGATACATGTGTAATACACCCGGTTTTGGTGACTGGTTTTGTCCATCACTCAAAATATGAACTAATAAAAAAGCAAACTTCTTTAGTGGCTTTTTATACTGTATTTACTCAAGTACCACAATACTTTTTCTTCGAGTAAGTTGTGGAGAAAAATACGTTTTGGGACATACTTGGTTAGGGAATTTCTGGATACAATTTTTTCCAAACTTTTTGCTAAAAATGTAAGTCATGTATTTTACTCAAGACTCTCAAGAGTGCATGATACTCAAATTAATAATATGGTATGCATTAAAATCTTCTTACAATAAGTAATATTACAACAAATCTTTCAGCATGAAAAACTTTTTTCATGTCATTGCACAAAGCCCATAGAGTATAGACATGGTAAAACAATCATATGCAGGCGGTACCCTGCTATAAATGGGATTATACAACGACCTGATCCCAGTTTAACATTTCACCATATTAACGTTCTGTTTTCTTTTACCCTACCAAAAATAAACCGTAAACTTTTAAACTCATAAAGACGTCCAGTTTAACGTCCCTGCACACAGTGTAAGATATAGTCGTCCCGCGCCGACCGCAAAAAGTTGTTCTCGCCGCATTCCTTACGAAAAACTGCTTTTCTATTTATGAAATAACTAATTAAGGAAAAACCCACTGAGTAGGTTTTTCCCATATTTACCCTAATATGTTGCTGGACTAGGGTCAAATTGTAAAGTGGTATAATTGCAAGACAAAAGAAAATGGGATGGTTTTTATTTGGCATTTGAAAATTTGAGTATTTCTGCAGGTCAAATTGCAGGGCGCACACAGGTCAAATTATGAATTGACCTCCCAGCAAATTTGATCATCCAATTGCAGGATGGACAAGTTGCAGGATACCAAATTGTGAGTTGGCACCTGTAAGACTCATTATAATCAACTTTCCGATCGCAGTATTACAACATTCATTGAAGAATGTTTAATAGATGCTCCATGTAAAAATGTTCTGACTTAATGCAGACACAGTCTAAAATTTACCATACAAAAATTGACTGACTGGTACTTGTGGCATGTGTGAGAGCTGTTATCAATCACAAACATGCTTCCAAGTGGTTCCACACATCAAAATTCCAGAATAAAGAAATCTTCACATCATCATCCTCCCAGAATGAGGAGCATGACAAGATTGGCACAACTGATGGAATGCATGACTAGAGTTATTTTTAGTTCAGAAGATCACTAACCTTCTACAAAGTGAAAAAACTGAAAATATCATAAAAGAAAGAACTTATTGAATATAAAAAGATCTGACTCTGATGTGACATTTCTAGCAATTTTTAATTTTAAATGTGGAAAAATGCTGCTGCCAAAATTTAAAACTATTTCAGGATATTTCCAGACCTTGGGTCCTCTGGTCATGCCAAGTATTTTTCTTTTCCCCAGTGGCACAAATTTATTCCAAAAACTCCTGGCAGCCCCACCCAAGGGTCAATATAAAATATTAAAAAAATCAGGAAAAAACAGAGAAGTTGATCCCTTGTCCCACCTGAAGAAGAAGAGTATGATGATGATGATGATGTTGAGGAAGCAGGAGAAGAAGAAACAGCATTGATGGTCACCAGGGCCAGGGAAGAGCAGCAAAGCAGGGACGCCAACGGAACCAGAGCATGAATCCTCAATGACACACCCATGACTTTATTTTGCCTGCCAGTTATGTCACGCCCACGACTTCCTTTTGCGTCTCTGTGTGAAATATCACAGTACAGTACTAATACTATTCTGCAGGCGTTTTGCATATGAAACGGCTGCTCTCAAATTTCCACCATTTTCAAATAAGGTCCCAAGGACAACTTGACACACTTCGCCTTATTTTCTCCCTTTTGTTTTCCCGGGAGACTAACCTTTTCCTATGTGGGCAGCTTCTTCTTTCTTTGATTATCTCAATTGTGTATGCAAATGAAGTCTTGGCTAACAGAGACAAAGCATTCCATCATGATGTGGGTTTGCTGGATTTTTTGTAAACTCAATTGAAAAAAGTGCAATTTTTAGTGGATTTTTTTTGCCTTCAAAAAAACTCAAAATTTCCTCTGTAACATTTAATGACTAAGTTCAGACTTCAGAGTAGCATTATAGCAAGAGACTGATGAAGATTTTGCCTCCAGCAAATGTTTTTAATGTGTTCTGCACTTACACCTGGTTAATTTTAACTTCTATAGGTCAAAACCCCATTAATATAAATATATTCCGAATAAAACAAGGCATTAAAAACTTTCATAAATTTTTAGGGGAATTTGGTGAATTCGCGCACATATTTCAGAAATTCCAGTCATGTAATTTTCCATCACTAAAATTGGATCATTGGAATTAAGAGGCTGCTCAATATTTCATTTCCAACAAAATTTTAGAATTCTGTATACGCACTTAAACCTGGTTAAATCGAACCTCTATATAAAATTGAAAATCCCATTAATAACAAAGTATTCCCTTCAAATTCCATATCACAGTACTGTACATTGATTCCCCACAGAAAAAAAGATAAATTCAACTGAGCATATGTTCAAAAGAGGAAATCGCAGCTCACTAAACAAATGTTTTTCTGGAAAAAGTTTGAAATTTTTTTTATGTGAAATTTGAGAAGGTATATCAAGAATTTAAAATGTGATGTCAGAAAGATGAAAATTCCTATAACCTCAAAATTTGGTGAATTTAAGGCTTTTAAATCAATTTTAAAATTAATTATGCATAGTCTATTAACTTTTATTTGTAGAATTCTATTCCATAAAATAGCTAAAATAAAGAGCTTTTTACCGCGTACATCATGTTGCTTCCTGTGACTGTATCTCGAAAGGATGTAATATTTTCTGGTCACAAAAATTCTGTTGATAATAAAGGCTTCCTCAAAAAAGTAGTTATTCTTCGAAAAAACAGCTTCATCCATTTCATTGCAAATGGCGCTCTGAGTTATATTCAATCTTTCCAAGCATCTGAAAAGTTCACAAACTAATTGACATTGAATAAGGAGTCAGCTTCCATGGAATTATTCTCAGGAAAGCAAGTCTGGCAGAATTTTTGAAAATCCCCTGGCTTGAGTTCAAATGCCCTCTTTTTTCTTTCGTGGATTGCATAGGGTTGCACATGTATTCATCCGGGTCCCGTTGCAAGGGCAGGTTCTCCGCCCACGCCCCAAGTGAGGATCTTTCCAGGGTATAGCAAGTGAGGATCTTTCCAGGGATTTTGCCTTTTTGAAGCATTCATTCAAGGACCAGATACAATATCACCCCGGGACCTGTCAAGTTTCTATTTTTAGACTACTATATTCCTGGAGGAAGTGTCTTATTTTAGTCACATTTGCCATTACACCCTGGGGAGTTTTTCTTTTACATTTTTTTTTCAATAATATGCTGAGTTTTATAAATTTTTAAAAGTAATTTTTGGAGATTTCGGTTTAGGAATTTGAAAGATTTGTTTTAATTTGTTTAGATATGTGGTTCCCATTTTTATATTTTATTTCACAGCTACAGCAATAAGCTTAAAAAAGATATTGAACTCTTGAAATTGAATGAGAAGACTCATTCCAAAACCTTAGACCAAGATATACTGTTAACCTTATATGATATCTCACCAAGGATCCTCTCTGAATTGTTTAATCAACTGAACTTTATCTGGGAGCAAGATGAACACCTTGTCTTTTGATTTGGTTTCAGGAAATGCCTTATGCTACATTTCTTATCACTGATATTTTGTCTTAGTTCTTAGGAAAGGGAAGAAAGTGTAAATATTTACATCAGTAGTGCATTTGTACATTTTGTGATGTATTTTCTTTAATTTTAATATCCATATTCAGCTTATTTCTCTGATTTCCATTCTGAATTGATGGAATGTGCTTGGATGAAAGTTGGTGAGAAGGGAAGGAAATTTTGATGTGCATGGGAACATTGCTTGAATGTTGTGAACACTGAAAAGCTGAAAATGAAGAAGCAGAAAATAAAACTTGCTTTTCAAGTCAACTAAAAATTTTGTCTCGAAATGGACAAAATTAGGGCTGGAGAATTTCTTTTCTTGGTGGTAATGAAAGAATTTCACGACTTCATCCTTTTTGAATAAAAAAGCAAAAGGTAAATATATAGTAGAAAATTGAATGAAGGAAGAAGTATGAAACATCATTCTTGGATTTTTTGCGGGTTTCACAATAAAGGTGAATCATTCAAGGGTGGGAATTTTTCAGGATTTTTAACAAAATTTGTATTCATTCAATTCAGAATGCATAAAAGTTTATTGGCACTCAAAAATGATGAACATCTTGATCTCCACAAAAAACTATTCATGGTTATTCCCACAGCATGGAGGAAAATTGTAATATGAAAAATTAATTAGCGCGTTATAAACTTGAAATAATCTTCCTATGCTGTGGAAACAACAATATAGTATCAAATTAATTTGTGCAATGGACCTTATCGAGTATGGACCAGTTCCGGGCTCGGAAACACAGCTAGTTTTTGAATCAGCAGAAAATCCAACACTTTGTTTCCAACAGTAGACTATTTTCATTCATTCCTTCATTTTGAAATTACGGAAGAGGAAATAGCGCGAAAAAATGTCACACCAACATTCCAACACGTTTTCGCCTTCCTGAAAGACTTTTGTTCAGCATTTCAGGATATAAACTTAAACAATTCAATTCCCAAAGAATTTCGAATCTTTCCCAATTTTATAAATGCGTAAACGAATAAATAAATTTTTCTTGTTGGCAGAAATTTTTAGTGGCACCCGCCGAATAATACCGTGACGAATGTATTCAAATTCTGAAGTAAGTCGCGCGGAAAGATTCGCGACGGACAATCAAACCGATTATGAAGTAATTACACGCCTAAACCTCATTTTCCCCCAAGCTGTATGTTGTCCATCTTTTGTTCGAAGCCACGACTTGAAACAGAGGTCAATTACGGTCAGACAGATCGAGTCGTGATGCTGACTTCGCACTGGATTTTGGAGGGCTATGACCCTGGGTTTTCTTCCTGAAAGGGGGTGATTTTATCCTGTGGACGAACGCATCGCGTCTTCGCGGGAAATTCCTCTGCGCAAGTTGGCCATGCCCACGAATGAAAAAAATTGGAGAAGTTAGCTTCAGAAATTTTAATATTATTCCTGTTTTGTGGGGGGAAAATAAAAGAACTCAACTACAAAACTTGTGAGATTTTCTATGCAAATTAAGTACAATTGAACCTTGATCACTGCAACCTCCCTAATAAGTGAAATACAGTGAGACCCCCACATGCGGACACCTTGACCTGTGGACAATTCAACATGGGGACAATTATTTTATCATAAAAAATTAATAAAAAAAAAGCCTGGCATTAGGACACTGACTCAACATGGGGACATTTTGTTATAAAATTGCAAATACATTTCAGGCCAAATTACAAGAAACAGATATTTCCCAAGTTGAGACTCAACTTGGGGACACTCTTGATGCAACAATTACATCCACATCTTGGGGTCTCACTGTACTTGGGTAAGTGACTTTGTACCAAGTCTCCTGAATTCCCTTGGACACGATTCATTGAAAATCTCCCCAACCCAAAAGCTTTTCTACTCACAAAAACTTCCAAAACTCAAAGTTTCTGGGGGCCCTTTGGCTATTACAGTATTTCACTAACACACATGTTGGAGACTGAAGCCCACCCCAGTAAATTATTTTATCAATAAAAAACCCCTGCTGCATAAATGAAACTGTTTCTGGGGCTTAGAGAGAACCCAGCACCTGTTACCAGATGCATTTTTTGGAAAGCTCATAATTTTGCACTTGTGCAGTATCTACTTTTGCCTTTTTGCTCTCTTTCAAAAACTGATATTTTTGTTTCTGTTTCATCACCTTTTGGGTGATACCCTGTGAAACCAGCTGCATAAACAATGTATGCAACCCTCAAGATTTGCCTTCCACATACAATATTTTCAAGACATTTTTTCTGATCATGTAGACAGCAAGCTTAATTGACTTGCAACCAAGTATTGGTAAATTCTGAGAATACTCTAAATCTAAAGGAACCATGAAAAGTCCTTGTCTGGACATATGAAACCCTTGACTGGTTTTCAAAAATGAACAAACAAGGATTGCTCCACAATTTCATCAATATCTAGACCCAAGGAAGACATTCTTTTTTTCATAACAAAAAGAGGCTCTTTGGTTAACATCAATTCACAGGTATATGATTATGCTGCTGCTCTGTCAGCAGCAAGATCAACAAAAAAAGATATAAAAGTGAAAAAGGTACATCCATTTGCCTCTTTCAGAAGGAAGATTATTCATGTGACAGCATTTAACATAAAAAATTTTAACATTTGAAATTAAACACTTGTGAAGTTGTAATTGGAGGACACAAGTCTAAAGCAAGCCAAGGCACAAATCAACCACAACAGTTTTTGGTATATGCTCTAATAAAGGCCTACAGAATTTATTGAAAATATTGAACAAGTGTTTCATATACAGGTTTTTATTTGAGACTATCATCTATTATGGGGACTGGTACTTATTCACAAAATTCAATAACATTCTGGGACAAGATGAATAAAAAAGGAAGGAAAATGGAGAAAACCAAGATAAAAATCAAAGGATCCTCAGATGATAATTATTATTTTTTATTTGAGACAGGGATTCTTTCAGACTTTATCATGGAAAAAAATGTTCCTCCCTGAGCTCCTAATAGGGAAGTGTGAGGGATTTCTAAAATTAGAGAGTTCTGGAGTTCTCAGAATTCTTCCAACCAACCCACTCATTTTTAGACTCTGCTACTATATTAAGCCTTTTGCAGTGGAGCCAGAATACTTTTGCAGGAATTTCTTGCTACATGTTTTTTCTTTGTGAAAAATATAGCACAGGAAAATTTAGCCGAAGTAGGAAATATTTGAATATATTTTCTATCTGTTCAAAAAAGCTTAAGGAGAGCCACCAAAAAAGCTCTCACAAGGCTGGTTTTTTTCAACCTTCAGCCATAGGACCAACTGGGGGTTCTGTTGGACTTCACCAATTTCCTTTCCCTGGCTCATTCAAATATTTCTTGGCTTAGACCACTCTGCATTGGTGCTGCTTTGGTGACCTTTGGTCAAACCAGAATGTGCCAATACCACATGAAAAAATCCTGGCACCACCTTGACATGGAAAAGAGCCCTCTGCTGTTGAAGAGTTAGAGACTACCTAAACTTACTTCAAGCTTTTATGAGACCCACCACTTATTTTAGAAAGGCCTTAATTAGATAAGTAATGGCACACAAATACAGGGTAGCTTTGCTGACTTCCCAAGAAAAAAAAACCCCAACTGATGAAAGCTATCATTTTAAAAAGTTGTTTCCTCATCAGTCAGACAATGTCTGCAAACATTGTTAGAGACTAAGAAGTCTCAACAAAGAAAATATGAGGATTTCAAATGAAACACAGCAATCAGCCTGGGACTGGCCGGGAGCCTCTTTATATAGGCCCCAAAAGAATTAAGCATTTAATAATGTCCTAAAGAATAATGCAACTCAAAGAATTTTGGACCTTGCACACACATTTCAAACCACACAATAATAAAATCAGATGTCTTAAGGTGAGCTCTTCACACTTCAAGAATTGGCAGTGGAATGGAATTCATTGTTACATGTTTTTGGAGACAGAAGAAAGAGAAGGGAAAGTGGTTTTCCTTGTGGGCAAAATATTGGCCTCTGATTGGCTGATTTTGTTGGAATCAAAGATGATGCTGTGCATTGTCCTACATTTCCTTCCAGACTCGTTTTTTGGTGCTGGGCTTCTGCAAAGGACCAGTTTTTGGGATGCAGCAGTGCAGTGGGGAGTTATTATAATTAATATTTACAGGTGCCGGACTCACTCCCCAACAAATCCCCCCTGTTTTATCAAACATCAATACTTGTAATTATGCTACACTCACATAACAGCTTTGGACATCTGAACCTCCTTCATTCATTTTTTTTTTTTTTGCATCTGACTTGGCTTTCTGTTCTTTTTTATCAACAAACTGCACAATTTGTGTTCCAATATATTTTTCAAACAAGGTTGGAACAGCCTACAAGGAAAAGCAATTAACACAAACGTTACCATAGGAATAAAGTTCCATTTCAGTTTGCCACAAATGTAAACAAGTCCGTTGATGGTGTTTATCCAAGCCCATTGTCCTCGTCCTTCTTCAAACTAATGTAATTGGATTCTCGCAGAAGGATAAGCTTTCCTCCCTTTTGTCTCTAGTCCCAGTCCTTTTCAAAGGAAAAACCAGAAATGTGTAAGAGTAAAAATCAAACAACAACTGGTGAAGATTTTTATCCTTCAAATGTGCAGAAGCCCTGCCTACTTAATTTATGCGTACAATTTTCACGGAAATTTCGATGATTTAAAGAAAACCTGGTTTTTCTTGCCATTCTACGAATTTTTCCAAAAATAGTACCATTTCCGAATGCCTCTCAGCAGCATGTTTTTCATGTCATGCTTGGAAAATCTAATTTCCTAGAAATTTACGTTTGTGGAATGCTGAGAATTTTTTATTCCCACGCTTTTAAAAAGACAAGAATGAACCACTTTCGCTGGACAAGCCCATTAAAATCAGTATATTCTGGTCTACCAGTGGAATTCACACAACTGATGTTTTTTGCACACTTCTCCCACCCACGTCTAGAATTTTGGGAATGTCTGCACCCTCTTGAAGACAGCATGTAGTTTTCCAGTTGAATTGAAGGTCCTGCACCTCATCTATCCCCGTAAACAACTCTGGAGAACTGCAGCTTAGTGCTGTGAGAGGTCCTCAGACCCAAACACAAAGATTTGGTTTTAGTGAAATAAAATAAAATAGCACAATTGGCCGTTTGCGGCCTGAGGGTTCCAAACTCCTCAACCTCTGTTTATAGATCAAACTCCAAGTCCACAAATATTTCCAAGCAAATAAGTCACACACAATAACAGCAGGTCTGTTCTCTCCAAAGTCCAGAGCAGGATTGATTGATTCTTCTGTTCATTTCTCACAGGTCCAGGTCCTCCCCAGTGGAAAGCTTCTCCAAGGTTTTCACTGGGGTGTGACTAATTTTCTGTTTGCAAAATTCCTCATAATTTCTTTCATCAAGTGATGATTCACTTGATGGAATATTTTACCTGAAGATCAATATCTTCAGGTTTCATAATGTTTAGAATAAAAAGAATTGTTTTTATTGTCTGGAATTTCTTTTCCTTGTACAACATGGCATGTCATATGCTGCATCATACTTTTTGTGCCTTTCTTGTACCTGCACTGTGGGCAACATCTAGTCAACCTGTGACAAGTGCTAAACTGGTACATGACAGCTATTTTTGTGTGGAAAGTTTTCATTCAAATGGTTATTGTTACTAATCTGTAGCACTTAGAACCATAACACCAAATATCATTTGACATTAAAGTGAATACACTTTGATGTGATGTTCTTTTCAGTGCTGCAGCTTGATTTTCTACCAGGCTAGTTTAAGACAAAAATTGGTTTACTTTCCTCCACCCCAGTTCACCCTGTATATTTTTTCATATCTGTTTTTTTTGGTTCTGAGAAGACTGAAGGTATTGCTTTTTAAAATCTTCCTTGTGATCATAATTGCAGAAGAAAGTACTACTTGATGGGGTTTTTCTTTGAATGAAAAAGTAATTTCAAAAATATTTTGCCTAGTGTCCAACTGTTCTCATACCACCCCTGGTTTGGCTTTTTGGGGATTCAACCCTATCATTTTTAAACTCTTATGTTTCATTTATGAATACAGGTATAGAAGGGCTATACTCAGTGAGGGTTTTTGTTGCAAAATGCCATACACTAAAATGGAAAAAATGCATTCAGAACATCAAGTCTTTTATCCAGCTTGTTTCTGTATTCTTATTTGTTACCATATTTTGCAACCGAATCTTAACCTAACCATTTCCAGAAAAATTGAAAACATGATCTAGGACAGTGTTCTCCAACCTCTGCCTCGTGGGCTGGCGCCAGCTTGCAAATGTTTTTTGCTAGTCCACAGAAATTTTCTCCAGCATAATGAAGTAATTAAAAATAGCAATCAAGGCGGCTAAGATATCATCAGGGACCACAAGAGGTCACCCGAATCCCTAAAGATACAACATGTCCAATTGTCCACAAACACTAAAATTGAACCAACCCACTCTTTCCTAGAACTGACTGACCATGAAAACCAGTTGAATGAAAACCTGATCCCTACAAAATCCAAGACGGCGGAACTCCAAGAAACTTCACTTCACTTTGTCACTTTTTGCTGTGAACTTCATCCCAAAATTGCTGAAAGTGAAAGAATTCAATTTCTAACTAACACTTTTGAAATTCAACTGTTGGAGGAGACTCAGTCTCAGCCACAAATGGCCTATTGTACCTTGCATTTACTTATGAGTTAAATTTGTTGCCAGGAACTAAGTGTCTCCGACAGATACAGTATCTTCATCTGAAGCTTTGGCTTCAAACAATGGCAGGTATATAATTATCTCACAAAAAAGCAATGTTCCTCTTCTCCAAATAATTCTTCAGGCAAATTTACACCTGATGAAATGAATTATTTTCAGATGTTGTTCTGAAAAACCTTTCTTCAAGCCCACCTTTTTAATTAAAAAAAACCCACTATAGCTGCTTTATGGCTCTTTAACCTAATTTTGAAAAATGGCAGACACTTTCTCAATATCTTTTTTAAAGTCTTTCAAACAACACTTTTTGAGTCTTCAAAACTATTTGGAATTTGCCAATCCAAAATTTTTAAATGAAAATTTGCAGGTCTACAGGCCCAAAAAGGTCGGTGAACACTGATTTAGATCACACAGTGAAAACATGACAAATTTAAACCTGCATGATGAAATGAATTAATTTTACATTTTGTTCTGAGAAACCTTTCTTCAAGCCCCACCTTTCTAATTTTTGAAAACATTCCACTATAGCTGCTTTATTGCTTTTCAACCTAATTTTGAAAAATGACAGAAACTTTTAATTTAAATACCTTCCTTAAAGTCTTTCAAGCAACAATTTTTGGAGTCTGCAAGACTTGCTTAAACTTTGCTGGTCCAAAAAAAACTCTTATGGAAATTTGTTAGTCCACAGACCCAAAAACGTTGGTGAACACTGATCTGGGCCATCACACAGGGAAAACATGTTCAAGGGTATCATCACTCTCACCTTTGTTCCTCTTTTCGGTTCTCATTGCTATCAGCAAGTGTATATATATGTACAGTAAAAATGCAGCCATGAGAAAGTGAAACCATGGACCTCAGTGGTCAAAGCTTTTCTAGGTCGGGTTCTCAGTCACGCCCCAGCCTTAATCGGTGGAACCGCAAAACGGGGAAAAAGTAACTCCGCAATCGGAACATCGTGTCTCGAAGCCGCCATTAATTCCATCATTTCTCTCCACTCTTCTCGTCAGTCTCACTGGCAAGAAAACAAAAAAAATTATAAGTCTGACAAGTAAATGTACCTCCTTTTCTCTTCTTCTGGCTTTCTATATAGTAAATATACTGTATATATATAAGCACTGGTACACATTTGGAATAGCAAGTGCTGCAGCACCAATTCAGAAAGCATCAAGTGTATATTCAGAATGAATATGAAAGAAACCACCAGCAGATGTCAAGAAAATGAGTCAGTTTCAGAACTGCATGTTTTGGTCTTCTGGAAAACAAAGTTACATTACTATACAGTGAGACCCCCACATGCAAACACCCTGACATGTGGATAATTTGACATTATATGGACTCTGATTTTCCATTAAAAAGAGGCATAAATAAAGGCACAACATCCTGACACTAACTCAAGATGCAGATATTGTGTGCAACAATTGCAAACTCTTGTCAGCCCATATTACAAGAAACAGATATGTCCAACCCCAAGATCTGTGTAAGAACAGTTCTATGGCATTTCTGTAATCATTTTACCACCCATTTGGTTTATTAAAAAATAATAAGTCCAGCACAGATAGATAGACTTCCTTCTTTATTTTTGGCTTGAAAAATTTTTTTTTTTTTACAGAGGATGCCAACATTTTAATGCCCTGTACAGAGGTACACTATAGTCAATACTCAAAATGTCCCTAAATTTAGTTGAAATATATTAATTGAATAAGTTTCAATTGATAGACAATTTTTTCCATTTTTCATGGAATTATGATGAGTATTTCTTCCATAGAACCTACTGATTACAATTCTATAATATAAGTTCAAGCGAAAGTAAGACTTGAATTTGGAACATTCTGACTTCAGAACACTCTTGATGCACCAATTATATCCGCATCTCACGGTTTTACTGGTATCTCATGTTTTTTTTTTTACATCCAGTTTTTTTTTACTCACAAATTTTTGTGGCAGGAATCTGATTCAAGAAATGTTTGACTCACAATTCTCTTCTGCATTTTAAAAAATTGGTAAGCCCAACAATACATTAAATTTACTGCTTCTTTTTGTCTAGCACCAAAATCACTAATTATTCATGCAAATTCAAAGTGGTCCAGGATCCTCTTTTAAATGGCACAAATGTACTCAATCGTCCATCGACACCAGAAAAATTTCCCTGACCAAACGATTCGATAGAAAACATTGGTTCTCAGTTAATACTGGGGTGAACAAAGGAAAACTTGATATAAATATTTTCCAGCATCATTTTTTCCACGTTCTAAGGCCTAAAATAAATATACCTGGCTTGAATTAAGTGCACCCTTCGGTGTTTCTTTGGTTTAAAAAAAATTAGCGTCACGAAACCTTTTCAAAAATGAGGTCAAATTTTGTTGGAAATAGCATTTACTGGGCCAAAAGATCCCTTTTTAATGGAACAATATTTAAATAAGAAACCTTAATAAAGTTTTCTTCTCAGAGGATGTTGATTGAATCTTTGGCCAGTACTTCGGAGAACCCACTTTCCAAGCAGAGTTTAACCCAGTTAAATATTAGCAAGACCTGATCGGCATAAGAAAGTCATTCA